TATACATATATATATACATATACATATATATATACATATATATATATATATATATATATATATATATATATGAATATAAAGTTATCAGTTCAGGCAACGTATAGTGCTCGATGCTATGCAGAGCGGTATAATAATAATAATACTAATAATAAGAACTTGTAATTTCACTCTACAGACTGTTTCATGCAATAGGCAATCTTCATGAGTGAAGGGAATTTCAAATTTGACGTGTATATGTAGAGTTGGGCCGGTGTAGATGCAAATTAGGTATTATGTGTGTTTGAGTAGGAATTTGGCACGGTGTCTGCATTTTGAAAGGAGTTCGTGCCAAGACTATGTGACAAGATGAAGAAAGAAATCACATCCATCTTTCATTCCTTTGACCTCCGCATTACTATACAAGCAAACATAAAGATCTCAAACTTCCTTGATGTCACATTCAACCCGACTAACGGATCCTATGCTCCGTTCACCAAACCAGACAACAAATTACTATACGTGGATTAACGATCAAACCACCCTTCATCCATCTTAAAGCAAATCCCCTCTTCAATCAATAAAAGAATATCAAGCAACTCCGATTCAGAAGCAACTTTTCAAAAGGCCGCCCCCGACTACCAAATAGCACTAAGGGACAGCGGATTTCAACACAAGATGAAATACGAAAAACCACCTACAAACAACTCAAAAGCCAGAAGAAAAAGGAACATCATATGGTACAACCCACCTTTCAGCAAAAAGATCAAAACAAACATCGGCAGAACTTTCCTTAACTTGGTCAAAAAGCACTTCCACAAAGACAGCACCTTGCACAAATTGTTTAACAAGAACAACGTAAAAGTTAGCTACAGTTGCACAAGAAACATGGGCAGCACCATCAAAGCCCACAACGACCACCTTCTCCACACCAAACAACAAGTACCGACCAAACTATGCAACTGTCGGATTAAAGAAGATTGCCCACTCTCGGGAAACTGCCTCACCTCTTCAATTATTTATAAAGCTACAATCACAACAAACGAAGAATCGAAGCATTACATCGGGCTCACAGATACTGCATTTAAAACCCGATATACAAATCATAAGCACACATTCAATGCACCAAAACACAGAACTTTCAAAGTTCATATGGAAACTAAAAGACAGCAAAACACAATACAATATCAAATGGTCCATTATTAATAGAGCCTCATCCTACTCACCCAAAACAAAGCGATGCAATCTATGCAACGCAGAAAAGTTTCATATAATTTATGCAGACAAGCAATCTACTTCGAACAAAAGGCACGAACTCCTTTCAAAATGCAGACACCGTGCCAAATTCCTACTCAAAAACACATAATACATAATTTGCATCTACACCGGCCCAACTCTACATATACACGTCAAATTTGAAATTCCCTTCACTCCTGAAGATTGCCTAGTGCATTAAACAGCCTGTAGAGGGAAATTACAAGTTCCTTATTATTATTATAATATATATAATAAATAAATATATATAATAAATATCAATTAAAACTCTATATCTCTGGATAAAGCAGAAAACAAAAGATAGTCGAAAGCTTAAAACGCATCACTGTAGTCTTCTTCACAATGACACACGATGGAAATTGCGTCATAGGGATTGTGACGTCAGCGGTGAGGCTGGGTGGGCCTGGTCCTGGCCCCCCTCCTTCATTCCTGCCTTTAAAGTGTTGTTCCATATGTTTGGAAGATTATATCTTCCACCATCTCTATTCAACGTTGGTCTGTTGGCCCTGATGTAGATTGCTTCCTTGACCCCTTTCTCAAACTATCTTGGTTCCACAGTTAAAATTTTAGCCTTATCAAATTTGACGCTGTGACACGGAAACTCAGTGTTAACATGTTTTGAGACTTTTTCTTCAATGTTTTAGAAATATTGTTTTAAACGCACGTTCTGTTTCTCCAATATAGGAGGCTTTACGATCTTGGCACTTGATCTGGTAAACCGGACCAACAACTTTCTCTTTACTTATCCGGTCTTTCGGGCGTACAAGATGTTGTCTAAGTGTGTTAGTCGGTTTGAAGAACCCTGGTACATCGTAACTTTGCATTACTCGACGAATCTGTTCCGACACACCCTTGATATATGGTATCTCCACCGGGTGTTTCCTTAGTTGATCTCTTCTGTTGACACAACCCTCATAGGAAGTAGCTGTACTTTGTCCTTTTGAATGTGTTTCTGAAACATCTTTGTTTAGAAAACAATCTGGGTAATCATTCCTTCTCAGGCTTTCTTGATGTGTTTGACCTCTGATGTTTTGTCCTGGTCATCACTTACAATGCTATTGGCTCTATTAAGTAATGTCCGTACCACACCCCATTTGTGTTCCAGTGGATGGTTGCTGTCAAAATTCAAATACTGGTCAGTGTGGGTATCTTTTCTGAACACTTTGGTTTTAATCGAGCCATCGTTGTAAACTACTGTCCAAGCGTCCAAGAAATTCAATGCTCTTTCCACGTTGGTGCCTTTGTCCAGAGTTCCTCCATTCGTGTCCTCTGTCTCCACTTCACCCTCAGTTGTCCATTTGGTGTCCCTGTCCACCGTAATGATGTGAGTAGTGAACGCCATATATATATAC